AACGATGCAGCACCACCCACTGCTACGCGCATAACCTTTGCGCTATTACTGCCTGCCTTACGCTATTACTGACCCATAGCGCTATTACAGAACATGCTGGATCATTTGGCCATCTTGGGGTGAGAGGTTGAGAAGCCAACTTCCTCGGCACGGATTTCGTCGTCACCACACATCATCTGTGCAATTAATACGCCCTTAGTAGCGGCCAGACTTCAGACTGCAATGCCCCAAGCCAGTCAAAATCTGAGTTCCAAAGCTGCAAAAAACCCAATCCGCTCAATCCACAAAAATTCAGTTCATGGGCCTGCAAGAAACACATTTTCGACTCATTGCTGCTGCGCCACGTAGTTTTCAGTTGATGGCCACAGGGCAGTGTGACTTCCACTTCAGTCCTTCTAGGTCCGTGCAGTCGGACGGAGGTTGATCAAACGCTTGCTTTGGACGGCTTAGAATCTAAAACTCGGGGTGTGACCTCAGAGCTTGAAGCACAAGCGCTCAGATGATGAGGCTACCGGCATTCGACAAGGTAAGGAACGTGGTGACTTGAGGAAGCTTGGAGAGCGTTACCAGTGCTTGTTCATCTCATATTCAGTCCCAGTTACCTTCTGATTCAACAGTGGCTGCGGCAGACAATTTCGAGAAACAAAGCCGAAGCGGTCCCATCAAAACTCCCCCGTTTCCCATCCTCTTTATATCCTGCCCACCGGCCCAAACCCCCCTAATGCTGGCCCAGGTGACCCCCTCCGTCCTCATTCCTCTGGACCAATTCACGCCCGCCTGTTTATCCGCCGCTTTGTCTTTGCCTGTTCTTCTTTTCCGCAGGTCTGTTGTTACAGCCTGCTCCCCGTGACGGCGTCTCGGTTGAATTCGCAAGCCCTCTTCAATTGCGGCCGGGCTGAGGCACACGACGAGAAGCCTGTACAACTAATTGGTTAATTAGAAAGCGCTTCATGTGTGTACATGTGGCAGTACTGTTGACGTGCGTCGTCGGGCCATGATCTGCGAAAGTGGGTGATGGGCAGCGGCATGCTCCGTCCCAAGTTCCAAAACTCTGCTGCGTTTTATGTAGATGCTCCGACCCGGAAATCATTCCTATTTTTCACGAACAGTTGCTAACACTGAACACCCCAAGTGCGAATCAGGAGTGGAACCCTTCCTGCAGAAGACTTCCGCACGTAGCTCTGGCGTCTGAACCTGCCAAAATGGCGAGGTCTCCCGGGAATCCAGAAGCCCAACTCTGAACATCTTTGGAAACTCGGCGCTACATCTTCTCAGTTCTGGGGTTACCGCACGAAAGGTCTTTGCCGGCGCATAGAGTCAAAATCAAGAGTTTGAGTGTCTCAGCGGTTGACTAGCTGTGACAGTACTTGGTGCTTTTACGCCGTCACGCGTAACCTCGGAAAAGTTCTCAGCTTGGCGTGCTTCTAGAAGACAGCAAACAAAGGCAGGCTATCCCCAGCATCTTGCTGTCGATTCTGGCAGGTCGGCAGGCTTCAACCGTGTTGCTGCTAAGGGCCTTCACTCCCGATCCTTACTTTCGGACGGGAAGGGGAGCCAAGGCCTGATGGCAGTGTTCCCACTGACGATGTCCACACGGCAGCAAGGCTTCAACCCACTCCGGGCACTTGCCTGAGCTTGAAAGAGCCGTCTTTGGTGCAGCCTAGTTGAGTGTGACGTTCGGCACCGAACGAGGTACGCAGCAGGCGCCGCAAGTGTAAGCTCTTCCCCCTCATACGACACATCAACTCGGGGTGAAGAGCACTTGTTATCTGGGTCCCTGTCTTGCACTCCAGACCCTGTTGCTTCCATCGCAAACTTTTATGTTAACAGCTCGACGATTCGCCTGACCAGGCCACACACGAAGCCAGAGGTGCTCGCAAACTAGTATATCGTAAAGCCCTTCATTCAGAGGTAATCTTTGTATTGCCATAGGCAAGCGAGCAGCCCAGCGACATAAACAGCCACACAGAAAGGAAAGCTTGAAACGACCAGGAATGAGATAACAGCAGTTCCAGTCAGTCTGCGCCAGAGGGGCAGAGCTTTGGTAAAGGGCTCTGCTTTAGACTCCCATCCCTTAGACTTAGTTCGTTAAGTCCTCCCTATCCCCGAAACCATGTACATTTACTGGCCAGTGCCGGTGTGGCTGGCCGAACAACTGTCCCAAATGGGGGGGGACCTTCTAACTTTCAACTATGCTCAGTTGAGTCGCTTGGGCACAGGTCGCTTGGGCGCTCGCCGGGACAGTTCCTGAAGTCAACGAGACTACCTTGAACTCACTAGGTGTACCTTTGGTGTCTCTTATAACCTCGGCTACATTTAACGAAGATCCCACAACAAATTGGAGTTGCTGATCCCGCATTTTGAGCAAATCTTCTATGTGCCCACCGGGAATCTGTGCTAGCGTTTGCACTCGCTGTTTGCACCCGCTGAGGCCGCAAGACAGGACTTAAGATCCAGGAAATCCACAATCCCTCAATCAAGGCTATTCCTAAGCTTTGTAGGAGGAGCCCTTGCTGTGGGACGTTGGAGTTTCTGGGAACCTCAAAACTCAAGAACCCACAGCCCTGCGTAAGGCCATTCAGCACTTCGCTAGATGTGTAGGTGTGTGTTCGACATCCTCATGCAACGGAACACAAAAGCCGCGGACAATCAAGGTTGAGGCCGTCAAATCTGTGAAAGTCCATGCACTGCGGGAGTTTCCTTCTCTGTGCGTGTGTCTGTGTGGCTTCGGGAACTTACCTGTCAAACGATGCAAGCACCAAGTGAGCTTTGGCCAAACATCCCAAAACAACGAAGGCCTCGGCCAAATGCGCCCAAGGCCTGGTCTGTGCTCACTAACGGTTTCTACATTGATATTCTACGTTATTATAGTCTTGCTGCAGCTGCAGCCCAGGAGCTTGCAAAGCCTCTTGCATTCGTGGGTACAGCCCGGAGGGCGCGGCCTGCCACGCAAGAAAAGGCTTACAATCCCTGTGCCCAATGTCCTACATGAGCGAAGAAGCGAAGCCACCGGAGGCTGAAATGGCACGCCCTCAACTCCGATCCCAAGGCCTCCATGTTACGTACGGTTCATGGCACCATATGAGCCTTTCTTTCTGGAGTCTCCCAGCAGCAACCACATGTAGCAACTTGAATCAGAGTAAGGATCCGGAGCAGTCTTACTTCCCGATGCGGCGATGTATGCACACAAAGTTTTTTGCACAGGCAAACGAACACGAAACAACGGCAGCCTTTGAAACCCCGAGACTCCAGATTGACTTTGCAACTGCTCCCTTGTGGGTGAGTGGGTAGTATCTCGGAAATACTAGCAAGTCGGGCAACGGACCGTTCTACCTTGTCCATCCACGGCGTTGCAGCGAACAGTTCTATCTTTCGGTGCGGGCAAGGCCAGCCCATATGTAAGATTCTGGGTCCAATTAAGCTTGTGATGAAGCTCCCAAACCTACAAATCCGAAGGGGGTCGAGACTTTTGGGTTCTTCCACAAAGTAGCAGAACCTGGGACTGTGCAGTTGCTCCCTGTTGCTTGAACTCCGTGTCACTCACACTCGCTCTCGCTCCCTTCGTTCGAGCCGTCACGTTATGGATGGCCTGCCAAAGCGGATGGTAAACTGTCATTGGTCAGCCCAACCCAATGCACCAAGTCCAACAACCAAGTGCCCAGAACACCAAAACAAAAGCCGATGTACTTCAGCAGAGAGCGTTGTGCAAGCTAGAGTTGGGGTGTCGTGAGGGGCATGGATGCAAATCAAGACATCACGGCCAAGGCCTGCTGCAAAAGTTGTTGCACACGACATCCTTGCAGTGAGAGATGGAAGCTGAACATTGCATGGTTGCTTCGAAGCTCTGAGTGGGTCCTTGTGCTCGGGATCGAAGGGGTGGCATTTTAGGTGGCAGCGATGCCCGCATCTGGGCAGCAATGTGTCGCAATCTCGTTGGCATCCACCATGGAGGGCTTTGCGATCAAAATCTTCCGCTGTCTTCACCATACCATCATCTCTTGGATGTTTGGCACAACGGAGGTTGAGCGAGCTGCCAATGCGGTGTCTGTCCTCCAGCTTGCTGATGACTTGGAACCACTTGTCGTCCTGGCGCGATGGGCCAAGGAGATGCTGGTGTACGTTTTGATGCAACAAGATTATTGCCCTAGCATCCCTGCTCGCAAGGCCAAGCCTCAAAGTTCAACTTTCATACACGCATTAATTCTGTGAGTATCTTCACCCGCATCCGTTCATGTACTCCCACCTTTGTGCACGCAGGAAAGCACGCAAGCACAAACATCCACTCCCCTTCTCACAGGCGGAAACCCACACTTGCATAACCATAGGAGCACACGAGTGACAGACCAGATCAGGCTGCTGCAGACCCAAACATAATGGAGCACATCATTACAAAACAAGCCATTCCATACGAGCCCAGAAACTAGGAACCAACAAACTTAAATAATTACGCAAGTAATAACGTACAACTATGCATCTACAAGCAGGTATAAGAATTATTAGAGCTGCATATTGCAAACGGGCCTGTTGTCTTACATGCCTGGATGAACACAATAACGAAACACGAAGTACTCGTGCGTGCCATGTGCGTGCATATGTATGCGTGCATGTACAATAGTATGTATGTATCTATGTATGTATGTATGTATGTATGTATGTATGTATGCATGTATGTATTGTGTATGTAGCCACATCCGGCCTTCTCGAAGTTGGACCAGTCGCCCAAGACATACATGCCATGCCGGGCTCGGGACAGAGCAACGATCAGACGATTCTCGATGGAACAGAAGCCGAGGATGTTCTTGGGGTTGCCTGGCAAGGTTGTTAGGAAAGCTGCTGCAAAAAGCTTACACTGTGAATGAGCTGCAACATACGATGCTATCGGGCACTGAACTACGCACCTCCGGAGACATGCTTCTTGCTTGACGGCTTATGCTGCAATCTGAGCTGCTTCGGACCAGGGATAGGATGATGACGTCGTTTTCTTCACCCTGGTAGTCGTCAATGGTGACGATCCGGACGCCCGGAATCATCCGAGAGCTTCCATCAGCTTTGCCTTTGCCTTGCTTGCCCTGTCCCTTGCCCTTTCCCTTCCCCTTGTCCTGGCAGGTCAAGGGCTTGTTCGGTCTATTCCGCTTACAGCAGTTCTTTCTCCGCATGCTCAGTCCTTGAAGCGGCAAGAGCTTGGAACACAGCAATCCGGCAGATTTCATGTCAATTGCCAGCCATACTATCTACTATGATAGACCCAAGCACCACCGCACTTTGCATCAATGATCCCAGGAAGATACACCAATAGTTAAAGCTCCATCGCAAAAGTAAGGCTTTGGGAATGTAGAGTTTGTGGTTTTGGGGAGTATAGGAATTTTGCAACAGCATGAGGACGGAGGTGGCGCCTGTGCGATGCCACCCACCCCAAACCCGCACAAGAAACAAACCTGTTACGATGACAGGAAATGCGGGAGTTCGGATATGTCGCTCCTTGCCCTTGTCTTTGCCCTTCTTGCCCTTGCCTTTGGGCTGCTCCTCTTGCACGTCGCCACCGGCACTGACCTTCGCCCGGCTGCTTGCGAAACTTCCGGGAAAAGCTAGTTAGTGGGTCCCAAGGTCTGAATGATTTTTGGAAAGCGTCATCGGGTCTCACGATTTTCCGGCGCCGTGAAGGCTCGCCTTCCGGCTGCTGTAGGAACCCACATAGCGACACGTGAAATTCTTGACAGGCTTTGAATTGGATCTCTGGGGCTGGATTTGATGACTTCGCTGTCTCGGTGAAGCAATGGGGCGTTGACCGTTCAGTTGCAACCCCAAACACAACTCGGAAGTCACGGTCAAAACATTCTGTCCGGAGCGCATACGAACTCATGAGCTCACGGGGCAGCAGCTTCTTGATCTCTCCTGAGCTGGCCATGACAGACTGACATCTCAGTTTCGGCCGCGTTTAAACACGGAATCTTTAGCTCTCCCTCTGTCTCGGCTTCCCCCGGAAAACATACTACCAAGGCGAGGATGCCGGGCTTCTGAGCTCTGCTCATTGCAGGCCCCTGATCGCAAGGTTTGAAGCTTCCAAAACAGTTTACACTCCGACAAGATGAAGCCTTCTGCTGCTTGGTGTCGCTTCTGTCCCAGGTACGGGGTCAAAAGAGTGATGCGACCCTTGTCGATTCCTTGGCTGTGGCAGGTCTCGGGCTTGTCAGGCGAGCATCTTCTGATACAACTTTGGGTTAAGTCAGGCAGCCGGCAGAACTACCAATAGCATTTCCTTGTAGTCCTATACTAGTTACTAGTATGGCATAAGATGCGCCGAAACCCTCTTCAGATTGTACAAGCCCATATACTACGCTGTTTAGGGTTTCAGTATCAAGGCCCGGGTTAAATTGCCATGACCTCCTCATCTCCCTCACTTGCAAAAGGAGCTGGCCGGTCGGGCTGGGTTGACACTTAGACTTTGCCTTTTCTGTCACGAAATAAATTCGTCCTGTCTCTTTTGGGGCGAGCTGCCGTTGTACACCAGATGCTGCGCAAGGCGAACTGCCAGCTTCGCCTCGTGGCTGTTGACTTTGCTCAGCATCCTGGGAAAGTTGGACGATGCGAGGACTCGGGGGTTGCCCCTGCTTGCAATGGAAAGCCAAACTACTGCAGCTCTTGCTTGCAGTACGGGTAGGTAAAAGGCCTGGAGCGTCAGAGCTTCTTCATGTTCACTCTGACTACAGTGCAGAAAGCCATTCAGGTTTCGTGCCTCCAAGAAATGGCGTGCTGCGAACATCTTCAAACCACGGCCGTGCAAGAACGTCTTCAACCCGACGACCCCAATCCTCACCTAAATTCCACAGCCCTGAGACCCAAAACCCATGTCACACCCTGCACATAGCCTCCTAACTACAGTGCTTTTCTGACCGAAGACCGTGATCCAAACCCGAATCCTGATCCTTCTCGAATGCATCCATGCTGCTGAGGGTTTCCCCAGCTGTCCTCCTGAGCAACACGAAACACAATCGAGGTCGCGAAGGTAACAGTTGAGTTTATACTAGGTATTCAGGATATTCCGCGAACGAGATTCATGCGAGCAGCACCCTCAGCTCCCGTCAACCCATGCAAACCTCCAGCCGCTCCGAGGCGGTCACAAGTAGAGCTTGCGGTTCTTGCCCCATTTAGCAGAATAATTGTAATCTGGATTCATTCATCCCAACTCCCAACTGCATGCTTGACGATCGACTCCCTGTTGTCCTACACTGGCCTTGGACGCGCACGAACCCAACAGGCTTACTCCAACAGTTCGAAATCCATCTCCGTTCCTTGCCATGTCTAGAGTTTAGAGCTAGAAGCCGGATAAGGAACAACAGAGATTGGTTCATTTATTGCCCCTTTGCTTGCATGAGACACGGATTCGAAATTTCTGCTGTCTTGCATATTAACTGTATTGAAGCCCTTTGATTCCAACGGTGTTACATCTAGTGATTGCACGTCCCACACACTGGACTGTCAAATTCAGCTCGGCTCCCTCACCCCCAATCCCGAAAGTTTAACCCCGTCACAGCTTTAGCCACGCTTCTTCCTGAGAATGGCTGAGCCAGTACAACCTGTCGGCAACTCCTGGGATCATGGGGTAGTTCATCACGCGCGCATGATCCTCGATCCTGCGCGGAAGGGGGCGTCAGCGAGAACGACGAATGATGACGACGTGACTTCAGCCACAGTCAACGAAATCGGTCTTGGCGGAAGTCTTATGGTTTCGTAGAACTGAACAACCCTTCAGAGAAAGCGCCACGGCAATCACTAAACATCCGTGTCGGCTCCGTTTTATGTTCTCGTGAAAGTTCTGGACTCTCCGCCAGTTCCCATGATACATGCGGTTTGTCGAGCCGGAATTCCTCTACTGACCCGAAAGAGAGCGCACTTAGAACCACATCCGCATTAACCTCCTGCAAGATCCACGGGAGGCGGGTAGCCTGGGGATATGAAGCTTCATGAATCTGAGACGCGAAGCCTCGCAGCAGCTGAGAACGAACTAAAGCATAATGTAGTTCATGCGAGGCCTGTCGTAGAATGGCCGAACAAGATCGGAGACGTCGGGATGCATCCTGCCAACAGTCGGCGGGGAATGGCATGACCTCAAACCCTGCAGTCTTATGTTGTTAATAAGCTTCGCAGACAGTCCCGTACGTGAGGCTGCAACGAAGACAACATTTCAACACCCGCCAGACTTCGAACAGTTCACAGCTTGGGGACTTGCGGATGACCTGCGCAACCCGCTGAAAGCATCACATCAGAGGGGGAAGCGACAGGCCACGAAGTTCGGCTTCGGAGCACAAGGGATGAACATAGTAATCCTAGTAACTCATGGAAATAACAGCAGTCATCGTAATACTGAAATCGTATCAACTAGTGGCCGCCTCAGTTGCGTTACCAGCTTGGCCCTGTCGCAGCCGGAGACGACCAAGCGCTCGAAGAGCGAAAGATCAAACTTGTGCCTCCGACAAAGATCCTGGCTGCAAGCGTCACAGTTTAGCTCCCCAAGAACAGAACATCCCAAACCTGGAAACTCCAGCCCATCAAGAAATTGTCCGAAACACCAACTTCTTCTGATATGAAACTCTGAAGACGAAAGGGAAGGGAATGCCCTTCACCCGTTCTTACACTTCCCGCAACCAACCCCACACTTTCAATGTAAGGATACCTCCTTCCCCAGCGCTGGCTCTACAAGTGGCCAGCAGCTTTAATTCGATGTGCATCTTACACAGAATCTAAGCGATGTACCCACGATTTGTAATTAGTCATTGTCCCACAGGCTACAAGCCGTGTGAAGCGGTTCGTTGCATGAGGTTCGTCGAAAACCGCTGCCGGAAGCTCCTGAAGCAAAGACCCGTGCCAAGAAGGCGTAATCACAACACACCAAGCAGCGTCCGATTCCAAGCTTAGTGTTGCTTCGATACCTTCTGTTCCGACACTTTATCGTCTGTAGCCGACTGTACGGCTCCTAGCCAGGTTGTGGAACATGCTGGTAACTCTTGCCCTGTCCTCGAGCTGATTCCAGACTCAGACCGCAGGTAAGGGATCGCTTCCCAGAAGTCGTAAAAGCCAACTAAGCGGAATGATTGAAGGTCACAACTTGCTGTCCCAGAATCATAGGTGTTGACTTTGGGACGTAGTTGCTGATGATCGCCAATGAGCACCACCTGGCCGCACAATCAAGCTCCAAAAGTGATCACATGCAGGCCGCATTAGAGTCAGCACCTCCAAGCCTCGTTTTTCCGTCCGTCCCAGGAACATGCGCGTGCAACCCCGTCAGGCGATTTTTGCAAAGCCCCACGACCTTGCAATCAACCTTTCGGTCCCGCTTACGGTTTGTGTCAGCCTTGGCCCGTGTGCAGCTGCGGCCTGGTATAGCTCTGAGTATAGAGTATAGAGGCTACAAGCTTCCCAATCTGAACCTTCTCGAAACGAAAGAACACAGTCCGCACGATAAGACTGGCCAATTTATATTTCTTGCTCTTCTGCGTTTTGCACGCAGTTTCAGTAGGCCTGCTGCAAATTCTCGGAGGAGAGACAAGCCATCAACCTTGGAATCGCTGGGCACTACGGGAACTTCAGAGGTGCTGAGTTCAACTTCGAAAGACAAGGAGCATCACTGCTTTCACATCTTTCGGTTCTTCCGGTGACTTCGACTCGAGAAATGAGCAAGCTGCAACAAAGACAAAAACCACACCCAGGCACTCACACGCACAGAAAGGTAGACAAAACCAAACTGTGACATGGACAGCGACACTCTATCACACTCAACCTCCACCATCCCACCCAGCAACTGTCAAAGAACCTTACAGCTGTGTTGTTCTGGAGGCTAAGGGACACGAGGGATGCACCAGTGTTCGGAACAACGGAGGCAGAAAACAAAGCATAACCCTTGAGATCAGGATCTAATTCGACATCTACAGGCGCCCGACACTTTCAGCCTGCAGCCCCGACAGTCCGATCAAAGCTTAAGCCTAGTAGTCTTAGCGCGTAAGCCCTAAACTCTAAACTTTTCAAGCACCGTTAAGCCCTTAAACCCCTCAAGGCTAAAATCCTAAACGCCCCAACTCCCATAAGCCGTAAACCTCAAGTCCTAAGGCCTGTGACAAGCAGCTGGCACTCCAGGAGCTCGCCGGCCTCCTCCACAACAACGACCTGGGCAGCCATAAACTTAGGGTTTGGGCCAGGGTTTAGGGTTTAGGGGGTTTAGGGATCATGTGGCATTCAACTGGCTTCGGGGTTTAGGGTTCAGGGTTTGCTCCAACTCACCACGACTACATCAGAACCGCTAGCAGCCACCAGCACTTTTCGCAGTTTGGAGTCTGAAGTTTCTCGAATCAGGGTTTGAGAAATGAGCTTGGTCTGAAATTCTACGATTCCTGTGTAGGAAGAGGTTTTGGAGCTCTCTTCGTCTACACTTCCTGACTCCCTTCCGACGACGCACAGATTCGGGCGAGCAGTCTCGAGAAAGAGGGTCTCACCTCAACAGGGATCGCGATCACGGAATTAGAAACCAGAAGCCGCAGCTACATCTTCATGAACAGGGGGTATCTCTTCAACAGATCGCCTGCTCACGCTCACAGCCTGCTTTCCCCGAGCCCTGCGAGGCCTTACAGGCTCAACTCGTCAAAGCATCAATCCCCTAGAAGCCGGGCCCGACACACTCAAACAAGAATCAGCGCAGGACTCCGGAATCCGAGACCCCAGCACGGGAGCCCATGCGCCTTCGAGTGCTGTCATTCGGGGGGTCGCTTCTTTCGGGTGCTCAAGAAAGGTCGCCTGTATACCATACCCATTTATTTTTGAAGGATTTAACATGATTTAACCGACCCCACTGCATCCTACATCAACTTTTGAGGCATACAATTGCTTGTTGTCATTTTCGTCTGTGCATCTTGACGTCTTTGAGGCGTGGGGGGCAGGACAACCCATTAAGGCCATTTTAAAACTGCACCTCGAACCTGACCTTTCGAAGACTCTTGGGTGACTCCAGCCTACCTGAAACCTCGCCACACCTTCACACATCGTCGTGTCTAGGGGACGTGCCTCAACAAATCTGCATTTAGCGCAGCGAAGGTGGAAGTCATCCCCACGACAGCCGCCTCCTGAAGTATGGCCCGAGATCACATAGGTTCTAAGACATCAGCCGGGGAAGATTCTGGACAAGCCCGGTTTCGCAAAGAAGACCGGGATCTGCAAAGACTATGTCGCAGGGCTCAGTGGCCCAAACAGCGGCTTGCCCACAGAGGTGAGAGGGATGATCAACTCAATAAGCTCGCACCATGGAGTCTGCGGATCTTTGGGCATCGACTCTTGTTCCCCGGACGTCCTTGCAGGCCTGGAGCTGTGCCCTTTTCTTGAGCTGTCCCAAATGGTTGCCGGTTTCCTGGGCCTGAAGATGGCGTCACATGGACTCGAAAACGACGCAAGTCCGGAAAGCCTGAGATCTACAGCTGACTGCAGCTTCGAAGAACACCTTCTTGTGGGTTGTGAAAATGTTGAAGCGCATCGACGGAAGGCACATCCGCTTGACCTAATGCCAAAAATTCTCCGATCTCTAGATACTCGAGTTGTAGAATGTTGTAGACTTGTTAGCCGGACAGCATTCCAGCTATCTTACCTTTTCCGTGCTTGCTTGAAGAAGAGCTTGCCGTTCACCTTCAACCCTGACTGCACAACCGCTGCTTGCTTGAGACGAACCAAGTCTGGTGACACTCCAGATGGGTTCCAGCCTCTTGGAAGCCTTCCTGAAACACCTTGGCGGACTCTGGATGGTCGTGCAGGCGAATCGTGGTTCGGGATTTACATGCTGAAATGAACGAGATGACATAAGGGGAGATTTCGTAAACCGTATTCGGGCAGCGGTACGCCCACCTCCTGGTCACATACAATAGCATGTAACCAGTATAACAAGGTAATCAACAGTTCAACGAGTGCTGGCGCAGGTGTGCATGAGGCTCATCTTGGGGCCTGAAGCGAATCACGAGCGGGTCAGGAAATATTCTCGCAAACTCTGGGCATCCTACACTCGGCAGCCACGTAGAAGTCTAAAAGCCTACGCGACTGAATACTGCATTGTGGGTGGCCCCTGGATAGGTTCTTGTCTAGTCATGACCGCCTTTCATCTAGTCATGTGCTGCACCATAATCGGGATGCGGGTGTCCATGTAAGTCACTTAATCAATAACTTGTGTATTCTGCATGCACTCCAAAATATTCAAAAGTCTCATCGCCAGCAAACGCTGGCAACAATTATCACCTACATCGAGGAAGACAAATTTCAAAGGAGCCTGGGTAAGCAGGCATGCTCACTACTGATAAATCGTACTACGGTTCCAGGCTGTGAGTGGCATTGCTGAACACTGACAATCAAACACCACCGGCGTGACACTCAGAAATAGAAATCGATGAATCAAAACAGGTAGACATACTTACTATTCGCCTCGGCCCCGGCCCAAGTGGTTCCCTCTTTCACCTCTTTCCTCCATCCCAGCCATACACAGCGCTCAAGTGGCCATTGACGCCCCCCCCTAAAGTTAGTTTCCAAGCCCCCACGGCCTGGTCCTTTACTTGCTCAAGAAGAAATTTCGCCGATTTCAACCGTGGTAACCAACATCCCTCCCCCCTCACTCCGACCCGCTGCCCGACCCCCTATTCACTGTCTTATTGGGGCCTGCACCTGTGACCAGGCCGAGGCGGACGATGCCAAGCGTTTACAAGTATGGTAAGTCCCCCTGCAAACACAGGCTGAACATCGAAGATGGCTGGCATTTCGGCAAGTTTAGCGATGCATTTATGCCTGTTAACGTGGTGAGGGATGTGCAAAATTGTAAACCCGTCAGCATTCCAAGCATAGCTTGCATTCTGAAGCACGGAGCTTGCTGCTTCCGCCGCCACCCCGACAAGGGCCTAGAAGCAAGTGCTGAGCTTGCAGCCGGATTTCGCAGGCCCACCATAGATTAGCTACAATGCTGCAGCACATCTTCTGGATAGGAGCCGCACTTAAGACTAACTGTGCATCTGCTTGGGCTCTGCGCAAAGGCTCGTCATGTTTGGTGCACTGGCCTTCAATGTCTCGGATCGCCGCTTCGCAGGTTGGTTCCAGGTCGTTCTCTCCGGAAGCTCTTGCTTGAGGTCCAGTACCTCAATTCCAATTCCATGTCTCTCTAACACTAGCGTTTAGAACGTCGGAAAAAGCTGCGAACCTCCATCATGCATCTTCCCGGTTTCATTGACATTGACGCAAATATGAGACAGCGCGCCTGTACTAAGGTCAACGAGCACAGTTTGGGCACAGACGACTTGTGCAAAACAAGGAGCAGGAGCCGGAAAGCTGCTTCTACAACTTTGACACTCCAAGCTTAGAGTCGCTGAACAATGCTGTTCTGCACATGTCTATACCTGAAGGCCTAGCTGTCAAACCAGGCCAGAGAGCGGGCCCCTGGGAATAAGTAGGTCGTGCTGTCTTTGACAGGCATCACGACGGGCACGATCGGTGTTCGTTGGTGGGGTGTGGGTCAGCAGCAGTATCATACCAGCGAATAGTCTCGTACAATAACCCCTAGGCCCTAGCCAGAATGTGAACGGACCTTCGAGAGACCCATTGCCTGAACGAGCAACCGCTGAAACTAGCAGACGTGGAAGCCGGAAGCATCGGAACATGCAACATGCAGGACAGGCGACACAAGCTTTGCCAAGCAATGTTTCCAAGCCAGCTCGGATGTCCTGCAGTCTTTGGGCAGCATCACTGAATGTGTAGCAGTCGCCTCAGTTCTTTAACATCACCGTTGGCACCCGTCAACTTCGTCAGGACGACTGCTGCAGAGAGATGTGTCCGAGCACGTAGATGTTTACAGGAAAACGCTTGCGACACGAGGGTCGGATTTTGCCCTAGACGCCGGGCAAGGGTGACCTGCAGGGCCTTGCACACGCAAGAATTCCGAACCCAACGCCTTTGCACCCCATGCCATGTCCTTGTGCACACCACGAATCTGAGCTCGTCGTGCGTCCTGCTTTGCCTGAGACAGACGTTCAGCACATGCATTGACGAAACCTCGTGGGTTTATGGGGTCTTTGGTGCGAGTAGGCTGCGGCTAGGGTGTTGAAATGGCTTGAACTTTCCGCCAGCTTCTTCCTGTGCGGTTCGGTTCAGGGTCTGGGGGCTCGACGTTGAACAGTGTTCAATTGTTCATGAGCTGATCTCTGTCAGTGCTCTAGTGACACTTTCTGTGGGTTTGAAACTACACATCTGTTTCGCAGTTGCGGTGTCAACAGGGTCCTTTCGTCTCCGTGTCGGGTCTTCTTCTCATTGCCCGTCACTCTCGCATCGCGTTTCCTGTCGTGTCCTTGTGCCTCATGCTCGTGCCGTGGTCTCGTTTCTGGAGTCATGTGTCGTGTCAGGTCTCATGTCCATCGAACCTTGTGACTCCTGCTGTGTCTGCACGATGTGTCTCCTGTCTGTCTCGCATCCCCTGTTTGTAAGCTCTCTTGCTGCCTCGTGCCTCGTGCCTTTGGGTGGTGTGTTTGTGTCTTCGTGGGTTTTGTATCACCTTGGCTGGTGTCCACTTCTCGTCTGATGATGCGACTTCTGCTTTGGGCTGTGTCCTCATGTCTTGTAGTCGTGACTGGTCCTCGTGGCTGATATCTTCGGCTTCCTGCTTCGGCGTCGTGGTTTGTGTATAACACATGCTCGGCGAGGTTGTGCAGCTGATTGAAAATAGACTTGGGCTTCAGGCACAAAGGATACATGAAGCTGAATCTTTGGGACATGGCAGGGTGCCCGTTGCCACCGCGATCGGATCTGAGGCGACTCTGCCTGCAGGGTCGCGAGTCACGTAGGTCAACATCTCTCAGATGCCCAGATCCCAACAGCCTGTCTGCCAAGCACTGCTACCGCACCTGACATTTCTCTAATCCCAAAATTGCCTGGAGCTGCTTGAGCTGCCGTTTAAATGGATCGCTTCTGCGCTTCTTTTGCCTCCCAGAGAGAAAACTTTGGGGGTGATGCACCGGCGTAGCTTCACTTTCGAGTTTGAGGCTTCAGGATTCAGGTTTGATTGCGGAGGCTTCGTGCCTTGTGATGCCTCGTGACTGCATCTACAGCAGTAAAGTCCAGAGGGGAGTTCTGGAAAGTTCTGGTGCGGCCCGACCAACGTGTAGTTAAACCGGCAGGCATTCCCTCTGCCGACGGAAGCTGTGCGCTTAGGTATCATCTACTTACGTTATTTTTCCAGTCGAGACCTGTGGCGTAGCTGTACAGAAACTACATAGAGGTGTTGAAGCGTGAGCTTTGCAGTTTAGAACTAGGTTCGGGCTCATGGTTGCGGGCAGGGCTATGACGAACATGTCGTTTGAATTGCTCCACCTCTTCTCCATCGGGATTTCGGTTCAAACTCTCCCCGAAACTGAATCCTTGCCAAAGGCCTCTCCTCGAGTCTGCTTCATACCCTCACGTCCTAGCCTCCCGAAATGCTACGGGGGTCCGGGTCCGATGTGAAGAAGCAAAGCTGAGGAAGTTGGGTGCCGATGTCGGAAGTGACAGTCAAATTACTGTAACTGCTCGTCTCTCCTGAAGCCAGACAACATCACCTCTTGCATGAAGACATGACCCCAAGAGCCTCCTAATTACCAAATACCTCAACCATGCAACCCTGGATGCATTTTGGGCCTGTTCGTCTCGGCCTCTGTCCACTGGCCCTCCTGTGCCTCCTCCTCTACGTCCTCCT